GTCGGTGCCGGCCTCGTTTCTTTAAATAAAAAAAAAAAAAAAAAAAAAAAAAAAAAAAAAAAACGACCGACCGACCTTATATCTAAAATGTAAGACTTATTGTAACATCTACAAATCATATTATCCACTAGAATGACCTAACAATGGGAAATATAGATAGTTTGTGTCAAACTTTATTTTCAAATCTCATGGCTTCCATTAAAAAATAATAAAAGCAAGTGATTTAATAAAATTGGTGAAGGAGATCATAAAGAAAGAAAGCTTTTGGTGATGGCAGATATTAGTTATACGAATGTATGAGTGGTGGTATAGGTACAGCTGCGATAAAGAGAAATAAAATACAGGCTGGTGCACACGAGAGACAAATGATCACACTTTTTTCTCATAAAGATAGAGTCAAATGTCATTATCGTACTAATGCTTCATTAGGACAAATAGGTTAAGTTGGGGACAAATGAACCTCTCCTTAAAATGTCCTCATGAACTTTCACCTAACCAATAATGTTATCTACTTCCATGCTCACTTGCCCATGTTTATCTTAATTAATATTGTGACTATGAATGAATCCAGTACCCCCAAAGAATGTTGAAATTTTAAAGATGGAAACATTTTTATGGTCAATATAGAAACTTCAATTACTTCATCATTCCAAGTACATGGTTTCACTTAGATACCATGGGGAAAATGTTAAATGAAAAGTCCAAGTTCTATTTTATATTGCTTTTATTTTGTTCCCTTGTGCTGTTAATGTAATGTTGTGTTACATATTATTTTAACCCCTTGTAATTAATGCGTTTTTAAATTTCTTTTTCTTTCTCTTTTGACTGATCTAGTGTTGATATATAAAATCTTATCTTATATTTTGTCATTTCATAGCTTTTTCTAACAAAGCTTAACAAAGGTCAATAACTTTTTTCTCCCAAAAATTTAATCAAAAGTAGATTTCTATAAGCAAGTAACAAAACATCAATAGTTAGATATGAAAACATTGACCATTATATACTGTTGCTGCCTGTACTTATATTCTCACAAATTAATATTTTGATTTGTGTATTTTGCTACACAAATATCAAATAAAAATATTGATCTATGTGATTTTTTTTATTTATAAAATTATAATTATGTCAATAAAATTTCAATCTAAAATATTAAAATTTTATACATGTTTAATTAGTAAAAATCACGTCTTTTAAATGTAAATTAATTTTTTATTATCAATTTTGAAACATGATATAAATTATATTCATAAAAAAAATTTATATGTATCACTTCAATTTCTATCATGAAAACCGCATATGAAACAATTTCAAAATTTATTAGCTTTTTTCCTAAACACATACGAACCAGATCTTTTTGAGTTATTTTTAGGATAGAGATCGTGTGAAGTTTAGTCAAAACTGTAGATGAAGAAGATCATTAATTAAGTAACATGTGACCCATTAACTAGAATAAAATATAGTACGTATTAGAGACTACTTGGACTTGGTTTATGTTGGTGTGATTATGATTAGGCTGGTAGAACGAAACTTTGGGTGTATAAAAAATTCAAAATGTGATAACGACGTTCAATATATTGAAAGAAAAGACAATAATTTTTTTATTTTTTGCTAAAGGCAAATTTAAAGAATCTTAATTATGATTTCTTTATGAGAAAAAAAAAACATCATTAATTGTGGCTTAAATTTTAATATTATTCACTATTATATTAAATATAATTAAATATGCTATTAGAACATTAATAATATAGTATGATATGTATTTATTGAGTAATTATGACATTGATATGAAAGTATCTTTCTAAAAATAATAATTAATTTTTATCAATAATTATGAATAAACATAAAATAAATATTTTTATTTTAATATAATATATTTTATATTTAAAATTAAAGAATTTGTATAACTTAGTTAAAAGATCTAAATTATTATCATTTATATTAATTAATATTAGTATAATGCAGTTTTTATTTATATATTATTCACAAGCTCTCTACCATTTCACTGTTATTCGTCACTGTGGATGCATTTGGTAAAAATTTAGCGGGTTTAAGTTTTTTTTTACTCTATTAGTTAATTAAATATCTACTTATTATATATTTTGAAAAATCTTCAAATCAATCTCAAATGTTACGTGAAATTAGTTTCATATCATAGTCAATGAGAACAACATATATATACCCATGTTTAAATAACACTAACATTAATTTCTTTTACATAATTCGATATATTATATTATAATAACCTGTTATTTGGTTAATTTAATGTATCATATAAACTAAAAATCTGAGTTTACTTTTACTTGATTATCCTTGTCATCATATTTTTTGACAATGTTGATAAGTCTAAAATATCACTTAACCATTATAATTTTTCATGTTGCATTATTTGAATACATGGCAGTTAAGTTGATTCTTAGCAACCAAGAAGCTGAGGTCAAAATACATTTGAAAAAAAAAATGCATGTCCCATATACATGAATAAAGATACATGGTAGAACTAAAGAGTTGAACATAGATGATTAATATATTAATTTTAATGTTGAATTATTCAGACGGTGATTAAATTTAATTATTGGTAGAAATAATTATTAATTAGATTTTATTTATTTTTTAATTAAGTTAGATTAATTTAAGATAAAATCTTAAAACATGAGTGCGGAATAAAAAACATTAACTTTCTTTTTTTCATGATCTTAACCGCATAAAAGTGAGTTTTTTTTTTTTAATTTGATCAGTGTTGTAAAAAATAGTTGCAAACTCAGGAGAATCACCTAACAATTTATTGAGTTTTATATACACACCAAAACAAAACCCAGCCCAATAAAAGGACCACATACATTCATAGTTTTTAGGCATTAGTCAATTTTCTGATTAGTACATACACCCAAAAAAAAAGGAATTAGATAAATAACCAAAACATAGATCAACTGCTATATATATATATATATCATTAATCTAACTCAAACCATATGAAACAAATTTCTGAGTAAATACAAAACAAGGTTGAGGTCTAAATTAGGATACACTTCCCCAATGGAAAACCTCATTCAAAGGTTTGGTAGAAAGGAAACATAGTTTGCACACTGTTTTCTGATTTGGATAAAAAATGACAGAGAGAAAAAAAATCGAGACTTGAAATGGAAATGAATTCAATCTGAGACGATTTAGATGAGAAATTAGAGGATGTTTAATAGACGATAATTTTTTTTAGTTATTTAAGAATTAAAGTTTGAAATGTTCA